AATGTATATAGTTGATAGTACTAAGTCAATTTTTGTTCATTTGGGAAGTAACTGAGTTAAACTTCGGTAACATCTGTGTAACAACAGAGAATTACTGATGGATGTCTAAAAAAACGGACATGAGTCTTTACACTTTCTTCAACTATTTAAAATATAGATATCTTATTTAATAACTTCATTTGTGCTGTTTATTTTTTATTTTTTTAAAGATTTATTTTAGTTATTTGAAAGAGTTAGAGAGATGTAGAGCCAGAGAGAGAGAGAAAAAGGTCTTCCATCCATTGGTTCACTCCCAAATGACTGCAACAGCCAGAGTTGAGCTGATCCAAAGCTAGGAACCAGAAATTTTTCCAGGTCTCTCACATGGGTGCAGGAGCCTAACTACTTGTGTCATCTCCTACTGCTTTCCCAAGCCATAGTAGAGAGCTGGATCAGAAGTGCAACAGCCAGGACTTGCACCAACGCCCATATGGGATGCTGGTGCTTCAGGCTGGGGATTTAATGCATTGATCCATAGCACCAACCCCTGTGCTGTTTATTTTAAGGTGTATTTACTTGAATGGCAGAGAGAGGAGAGAAAGAGAGCGAGAGCGAGAGCGAGAGAGAGTGAACCGTCCATTCGCTTGCCTCATTAATTGAATGTCTGAATAGAGCAAAAGGGCTAATGCTTCTGGTGGTAAAAGAAATTTATTCTGCTTGACTCCACTTTAGTTGGGGGCGTCACTTTCTTTTTTCCTTGAACTGAAATATCAGGTCTTCCTCGGTTTTGAGCTTATCTAGATTCTGATTGAAACAACACAGTTAGTTCTCTTGGATCTCAGGTCTTCTAACCTGCACTGGAACTACAACATCCACTCTCTGGGGGTTTCCATCTTGCCAACAGCAATTCTTGAATCTTGTCAGTCTCTGTAACTGATGAATCAATTTCTCACAATAGATCCAATTAATTCTGAAGACATCGCTTGATTCTGCTTCCTTTTAGAGAATGTTAATATAGAGGAGCCTAACAGTTCATGATTGCTGATGTTTTATTGAACATTCCAGTTTGTTCAACAATGTTTGTATACTTTACGCAAGAACTGGATAAGACATTGGGTCAAACGCTCAATATGCTAACATATTGATATAGATCTAATGGCCATTTTCCTATAACTGAATCACATAAATGAAGCAAAACGAATAAAATAAAGCTATAGAAGTCAGATTCTTCTGTGTGAAAAGTTCTAGTTAATTTCCCAACACATAATTTCTGCTTCTAACTATAAATGTGAATGGTGACTAGTGGGATAAATCCCTAAATGTGTCCTGGGTCACAGGAGTCTTTAAATCTCACTAGGATTAATTGAACAGGGACTAAGGCCATGTTAAAAGCCTGTAAGTACAAATGTTGTGTCGAGGGAGTCTAGTAGCAAGTCTGTCTCCGACATAATGTACATATTCTCTTTGCCCAGCCCTGACTTCCCTCTGTCTTTTCTGCTGAATAATGCACAGCGACACCTTATTGTCCTGGTCTATGGATTAAGCAACTCCCAAAGAGAACTCATTTGGTCTTTTGTCGAAGACAAAGTGCTGCTGTGATTGGTGTTATATAACTACTCCTGGGAATGAAGCATTACCTCTCTTTTGTGAAGCTGTGCCATCTTTCATCCTATTAACTCTTGTGAAAGTCTGATGAAATCCTGAGTGTATTATCACTATAAAAAAGTCTCTTAGCTTTCAGATTCCTACCTATAGATTTTCTGGGTGATGCATGGTTTTAAATGACACTATATGCCATTCATCACATTTTTAAGCACTGAAAATGTAACGCACATGAAGGAGGCGGAAACAAAAGTGAATAATTTTGAGAGGACTTTTTACCAGTACTTCAAATTATGTGATGAAACTACAGTACTTAGAAAGAAAGGGAGGGCTAGGAGTATAAACTTGGTTAAAAGAAAAGTTTAGGGAGGAAATAAATTGTAAAGTATCTCTAAAAAATAAAGACTAAAAAATCTCTTACTCAGGACCAACTCACTGCCTGCAAGGCTGGCGTCCCATGTTGGCGCTGCCGCATGCTCCGGCTGCTCCACTTCTGATCCAGCTCTGTGCTAATGGCCTGGGGAAAGCAGCAGCATATGGTCCAAGTGCTGGGGTCCCTGCATCCACAAAAGCTATCTGCAAGAACCCCCCCTGGCTCCTGGTTTGGCCTGGCCCATCCTTGCTGTTGAGGCCACTTGGGAAATAACCAGCAGACAGAAGATCTCTCTTTCCCTCTTTCTCTAATTCTTTCATAAAATAAAAAATTCTTAAAAATCTTATTTAAAGAGAGGTTTATAATAAATCGTTGTCAAGGAGAATTACCCATAGTCTATTTCTTATATTCCATGTGATCTAATATTTTCTGTTCATATGGTAAAATTAGTCAGAGCTCCTGCAATACTATTAAGTTACTGTTTGTTTTCACCAGATAATCTTCGTGCCATCTCAGTGCATTTGGTAGATAGGAAACATGTCATCTTGTTTGATATATAACACTATACATGACACTACATAGTGTTAAATCTCAGAATATTATTTGATGATAAAACTGTCATACAAAAGTAGATGTTCTAATAGCAGCTGACAAAATTTGCATTTCATCATTTACTCAAATCTTATACAGTTAACTTTATTACTTTATCAGTTAAAAATCTTTTCAGTATTGACTCCCTAAAGTGACCATACCTGTTTTGTTTCTGTATTTTTATTGGTGTGTGTATTAGGCACTCAAACAACAATGCAAAGAGCTATGGATCAAAGCTGAAGGGGAATAACCAAGTGTTTTAAATTAGTTTGACCTTTCAAAAATATGTTTAAATGCCCAGCTCACAGAGGATTTGACCTTTGTCATTATCAAAGGACTTTGTGTTATTTGAAGATTGAGCTCATTAATAAAATTAATGGTAGGTTACACAGTAAGGGAGAAGAATATGTGGTTTGTATTGGATGGATTAGGGCTAACTGTAAATTCTTTGTATATCATGCATACACAGATGTTTTATGAAATGAATTGAAGCTGTGTACATAATTTCAAGACAATAAACATGGATATTTTTGTGGTAAAGCAATATTAATCTGCCAACTTCTTATTCTAAGAATAAAGAATAAAAAGGAAAATAAGATAGCAATAATTTCTGGAAAGGTATTCAATGTTTACCTACCTTTACACAATTGTTAAATAAAGTAGGATGGTTTTAATCTATACTTGCTGAAGCTGATGAATAGCATTCCTGTTTTTTTTTTTTCCTCAAGTAGGAAAGTATTCACAATATATCCTTCTGGCTTTCAAAGTTGTCACACACATATAAAATTTGAGTGCTGGAGCCAACTTGGCTGAAGAATCCAATTGGTTCTCAGGAGTTTATACCAAACGATAGACCTGCATCTGTTCAGATTCCCAGTATCTTGTGAAAGAATCAGATATGACAATAATAAATTAGGAGAACCAGAGCAGAGATGTTGGCAGAGAATTAGTCTCTGTTGACTACCTCCCAACACAGACAAAATGGGAAGAGCTGCACACACACCAACTCAACTTGATGAGCTCTTCGGAGCCAGGTTGGAGAAAATAGTGCCTCATGCTGCTATGATCATCATAAAAGTCCAATTGAAGAAAGAAAGAAGGAAAGAGTTGTCCATGTCATTTGTCTCCCAGTTCCAAGGAGTGTGGCATGGAGAGACATGACTAAGCTGGGGAGATGGAACAAACTGAATCCCAGAGCCAAAACCACTGGGAAAAATTCAGTTGGACTAAGTCTCCCGTTTGGGCCCCCAGGCCTATACCTGTGCACTGAATAACTGTAGCTTCCATAGCCACGTAGCCTCTTCCAACTGCCCCCCACCCCAACACACCATTGGTAGAAATTAAAATTCAGACTCACAGAAAGGGCAGATGAAGGATTTTAGGATTGAGCCACAGAGTTCAGAAACCAGTCTACAAAGCTGAGATCCAGTGCCTGATAAGCCTAAAAGCACGAACTCCCGGTTGGTGCTCACAGACCAAGCAAGCTCCTAGGCTTACCCAGCTTCAGGCAAAGACCTGCCCGTTGCAGGGTCAGACTCATTTTTAAGTGTGTAACTACCAGCCTCCAGCAAATTTGTTGGAGATCTCCAGAAATTTGTAGAAAACTATGAGTGTGGGATCCCGAGGTGACCAGGCTGGGCACAGTTTGGGTGGGCAGAAGGGTGTCTTTATCACTCTTCACCAACTTTGGCAGAGAGCAAGGGTCATAGAATTGTGACTTGGGACAGAGTGCCAGGCTAGAAAAGCTTCACACTGGGCACATCACAAAGGTTTCTGTCCTAAGACAAGTCCCTGTGGACAGTCATAATAGGTAGGTAACAGCCAGCATTTAACAGCGGCAAATTGTCCCTGTCTCCATGCCACTGCCTGCACACGGTCTCTGGACCTGCTTCAGTGCCCAGCAGACTTGTATAGTACCATTCTGTCTGTCTTATGCCTCTGCTGAAATCACTAGTGGCTGAGAGGTGTGACATCAGAGAGTAAGCCAACATAGTAGCAGGCAGACCATAGCAGGGTGAATTTTGGTTCTTTCCTCTGGATGCAATGGTGTTGGGGCTAACAGTTCTGGGTGTAAACTAGCATTGTGGCATTTTTAGGGACAAGACAAGGAGTTGTATCCTACTACAGGCCCAGGAAGAGGCTTGTTGTGATGGGCCACCCCTTTGGAGGCACTTCTCCTGTGCATATTGAAAAACACCTTAACTGAACATTTGGGACAAATTTGAATTTGAGAAGTATTGTGAGACTGAGTCAGTGGTAAAAATCACATAAGTATCTATAAGCCAGAAAAAATAAACAGACTGCTTAGAATTTCTAGGACAGCCACAAATTAAGCCCAATCACTGTTGCAGCAGCCTGTGGTTATAATTGCTTGAGTTTGTGTCTTGTCACCAGGAAATGTTTCAGCTTTTTCTTTCTGCCAAATTTCTAAAATGTTATAGCTCTTTTAGATTATGATTCTTTTTCTCAGCCAGTTTCTTTGTCTCACATCTATAAAGAATGAGGAATACTGACAAGGAAGAATGAGCAATGTGAAGGAGGTTTATGGAAAAAATACTGAGAAAACTCCCAACAGTCACAGTGGATCTCTGAAGGAGGAAACTTTTGAGGATTGATTGTCTAGGGCTTTTAAATAGGGTGTAAAGGGGAAAGTTCTCATGATGGGTCTAAGAGAAGCATTGAGAAGTTATGGCTTTGATTACTTATTTAGGTGGAATTTAGGTCTCTGTTCACAGAAGTCCTTCATTCACTCTCCTCAGGTCCTCTAAGACTCATCTCCAGTTGGTGGGCAGGGGCCTCTTGTCCTTATCTACCAGGTGAGCAGCCTATCTCTATCAATCACCCCTTTGAACAGGTAACCCTAATATTAGAGAAAGGGGGTAACAACTGCTGTGTCTACTTTGAAATAGAGAGGGATAATGTTAGAGACAACAGTCATGGCTCCTCCAGAGGTTTGTCCAGGGAACTTCAGTAGAACGCCTGAATTCATGGTTCTGTCTCTAGGACCCTCTGGAGTTTGCTAGACTCTAGACAAGAAGAGACAAGTTTTAAAAGAAGGTTGAGTATATAGGGCACAAACATAAGCAGTATCACAAAAATACAAAGAGAAGCTACAAAAGAAAGCAATCCATGACCATATGATATAGAGTCCTAAAGAGGATAAGAGGAAATGTAGCCAGCTAGGCAATGACACTGCATGTTCTATTATGTTATTTATGAGCCTGACATTGTCTTTTAGAACCTGTAGATTTTCTTCCACATGGTGAGAGGTATTAATCCAAATGCAACATGTTTCATTTAATAACACACTTGTTACACCTTATTGGACTGTTAGAATTTCTAACCCCCAATGATTTTGTAAGACCATAATTTTCTGAGACTCAAGGGTCTTTATCATAGCCTCCCACCCCTGTTGAACCACAAGTGTGAGGTATAAGATAGCTCTCTCCAATGTGGGGGTATCGAAAAACCAAAAGAGGCCTTTGTAAATAGAGTATCGCTATCTTGGTCTTTCTATGGGGAAGGTGTCATGGGCGTGTCCCCTGAAATAAAGGAATGTTTCTGAGCCCTCACTGTGTTGCCTTCATTCAACAGGATTAAAACCACGGCACCACATCATTAGTGGAGGTAAGCTGATGAACAGTAAGATGAAAAGAACTGGTACCTCAAGTAGCAAGGCTTTTTCCCAAAAAACTGCGGCTGGATGATAGGATTGAGGTATGATAGATTGGGAAGGAGTGTGCATAATAGACTTAGCTTTTTTAAAAGGGAGTTTGAGTCCTTCTGGAATGATAATATTCACCTTCCTTCGAGGTGTCAAAGCTGTCCTCCAGGATCGAATCTGAAATTGAATGGCAAACCCAAGCTTTTACTCATGAATGGTAGATCCGGGGCTCTAATCCACACAATTTTACCACAGTGAGAGTAGAAAGAATCAAAGTATAGGGCCCCTCCTAACCCTCCTATAAAGAGAGAAAGTGTGTTGGAAGGGCCTTAACTAATAATGAATCTTTCTTCTGGGGTATACTTAGGGTTTCCTAATACCCTGGGTTTTGCCTTTGGGAGATCTACAATGGCCTGTTAGAATTTGACAATTGCTGGCCGGCGCCGCGGCTCACTAGGCTAATCCTCCGCCTTGCGGCGCCGGCACACCAAGTTCTAGTCCCGGTCGGGGCACCGGATTCTGTCCCGGTTGCCCCTCTTCCAGGCCAGCTCTCTGCTGTGGCTAGGGAGTGCAGTGGAGGATGGACCAAGTGCTTGGGCCCTGCACCCTATGGGAGACCAGGAGAAGCACCTGACTCCTGCCATCGGATCAGTGCGGTGCGCTGAATTTGACAATTGCTGATCACATATGGTATCTCATTTTTCATTAAGAGGTCATTAGTAACAAAAGGATGACTATATAGCATTTCAAAAGAGCTCAAACTTAACCTGAGGGTATATTTCAAATATATACTAAGGCTATTAGAAGGAGAGATCCAGGGTAAATAAATTTCCTGAGATAGCTTTTTGAGGTGTCTCTTGAGGATGTCAATTTTTTCTATCATCCCTGATGACTGGGAGAATCAACCCCAGGCAGAATAGAGATGATAATGTAAACCTACTGTCTTAGATTCTTCAACAACGGGAATGATAGTCTTCTTGAAGGAGGGGCCATTCTAATTTTGTGGACTCAGAACGTCCAAACAAAGTAACTATTTCAGAGATCACACCATTATTCTTTTGGTAGCCTTCACATTTCTACAGGGAAAGGTTTCCATCCAATTAGTGAACGTGTGTAAACATTTCTTGTTTTACCCAGGTCGATAAAGTCTAGTTTTCAGCCCTCCTCTGGAGAGTTTCCTTTTCTTTGTGGTCTGGAAAGGGAAATTCTTTGATTTAAGAGTTTACTCCTAGGAAAAACCTCACAGGCCCCCACAACCTGTTTCATAGTCCTGGGGAGGTCTTTACTGTATATTGCCTCTGGGCCCATTGAAAAGTCTTACCCCTCCACAGATTGAAAGCTTGATGGAGTTTTAAGTGCCTTTCACTGGCAAGAGAAAGGAAAATGAATTCTTCCTTCTTCATACTGAAGTCATTCATGCCACTGGATACTATAATCTCTAGAAAATATCCATTGTGTCCCTTCATGGGAGGGGCCAGATCTCTTATGGATAGAGGGAGTCCCCTTAGCTATTGATCTGGCTGCCAAAACTGTGACTTGGTTCCTCTCATAATTTCATCTCTCTTCTTTTGGTGTGTCTTACAGAATACAACTGCCACTTCCTGCAGGAGGAACACAAAAGACAACAATTGGTCTCCTTCCTGGTGGTATTTGATAGGAAACCCATTTGAAGTAAAGTAGCGTCTTTCTTTACAAATAGCTAAAAGAGCATGGAGAACAAGGAGACATATTGAGAAAATGTATCAACATTCACCCTTTTTTCCTGCTCAACTCCAGTGCTGTTCTCAGGGCTACCAGTTCTACCTATTGAGCACTCAGGTCAAAAGGAAATGAAAGCTTTTGATGGTCTCATTTAATGTGACAATGTCATATCTAATGTGGCAGGCTCCTGTTCAACAAAAGAATTCCCAATTGCCATCTGTAAAGAGAACTCAGTCCGTGTCCTCTAAAGGTGTATCCTTGATGCCCTCTCTGGCTCCATAGGTCTGTGGAACTATCATTACATTCATGTTCTGGATCCTCCACATTCTTCTGGATTTCTCCACTGGAGAAAAGTAGCAAAAGTAAGAGAGAAGCGAAATCTCAAGCTGGATTGCAGGGCCCTCCAGCTGTAATGCCTGGCGTTTTTAAAGGTGATTGTTAGCCAAAGGCTTCTTTTCAAAGTTAGCAATTCTGTCACACTATGCAGAGTATACACTATTAGATGTGCCCAGGGTCAATTTGGTGGCTTCAGGTATTAGTAGGGTGGTACCTATAACCACTCAGAGGCAGGCTGGCCACCCTTTTGCCACGGTCTCAAATTCTTTGCTAAAAAATCCTGCAAGCTTCTAAGCTGATCCCTTAAGCTGATTCAACACTCTTAAACTCATCCCTTTTCTCTCCACTTCATATAGATTGAATAGACTTGTTTGGCTTCTGGGCTCCATGTCAAAATATGGGTCCCTGGCATTTGTTTATCGTTTTTACAGCTAACACAAAGGATGTTCTATTTCCCTGTATCCAGAAATCCAGAATCAACAGAATCCTGTGACTTTAGGAAGTCTCTAATCTTTTTTGTTTCTTCGAAGGCCACACATTTTATTCTCTGTAAAGTGGTGATATAACCAGAGATGGCTGGTGAGAATATCCAGGGTGAACTGGAGAAGAGAGACAAATGTCTAGGTGTGAAGGTATGACATCTTGAATAAAGATGATGGTGGAAAATAAGGAAAGTGGCTGATCTTGAAGACAGAAACAACAGCAGCATTGATGACTAGGATAACACAAAGCACCTACCTAGAAACATCTGAACCATCTATGGAAGTTTTCATATCAACAGACTTCAAAATGAAGGCTTTGAGACAAGTAGATTTGGCATCAGATCCTGTCCTTCCACTTGTCATCACTGACAGGCAAATGAACTCTTAAAGCTTCACTCTCCTCATCTTCCCTCTCATGGGGTCATTGTGAGATTTCAACAAGTTAGTGGACAAAAAGGGCTGATAAAACTGATGGCAAACATAAGGTATAATAACAAAATGCAATATTATTTGCCTACTCTGTGAGTGAGATCCCAGTGGAAAGAACGGGCCATCAAAAAAGGAGGTACCTTTCTCTGAAGGGAGGAGAGAACTTTCACTTGGACTATGATAGGAGTTGGCGAACTCAAGAGACTTCCATAGCCTTGGCAACTCATGACAAAAGCCGCGAGTGATTACTGACGTCATAAATAAGAGTGTCAATTGTTAAATCAACAATGGGTGTCACTGTGTACTTACTCCTCATGTAGGATCTCTGTCCTTAATGTGTTGTACCATGTGAATTAATGGTAAAACTATTACTAAAACAGTACTCTATACTTTGTGAGTCTTTGTGGGTGCAAACTGTTGAAATCTACTTATGGGGGGGAAAAGCCGCTATAATCCAAAAGGTGTACTTTGGAAATTTATATTTATTAAATAAAAGTTTAAAAATTTAATTAAAAATATACAAAAATTGTAAAAGTAATAGAATAATTCTGCTACATAATAACAACACTAATTACTGTTTTTGTATAATAAAATTACTTTCAGTAGTTTTCTTCCAAACGATTTTAAGTTTTCTCATGATTTCAGTAGAAGTATTCTCAATTAGGTGTTTACCTAGGCATAAAATTCAAGTGACTATGTTCATTTCTCAACAAGAATCTATTATGTACAGTGAAGTTTCAAAATGTTAATTGGAAAGTCACATTACATTTTAATTCCATTTTTCAAGAACTCCTTGTACATGGCTTTGGGGATATATGGGCTAGAAAATAGTTTAGTTTTATGTGCTGTCTAGGGGTTAAATTAATGGAAGAGAAAAAGGCATATTCTGTTGAAATGATCAATCTGTTAATTCTCTGTTAATGAGCCAAATGTCAAAATAAATGACACAAATTAGTCTTCTCCCTCTTTTTTTTTTCTGTTAGTTGGGCCAAAAGTGTGTCCATTTTCTTATTTTTTTCAAAATATCAGCTCCTTGTTTCTCTTATTTTTGTATGTTTTGTTTCAATTTTGTATATTTTCTCTAATTTTAATTATTTCTTTTTCTCCTACTAATTTGGGGTTTGGTTTGCTGTTATTTTTCTAGGCCTTTGAGATGCATTGATAGTTCACTTATTTGGTGCCTTTTCAATTTTTTTTATGTAGGCACCAATTTCTATAAACTTTCCTCTTAACATTGCTTTTGCTGTATCCCCTAAGTTTTGATATGCTGTATTATCATCTTCATTTTTTTCCAGAAACTTTTAAAATTTTTCTTCTGATTTCTTCTATTACCTAGTGTTCATTCATTCAGGAGCATGTTGTTCAGTCTCTCCGTGTTTGCATATGTTCCATAGATTCTTGAGTTATTGATTTCCAGCTTCATTCCATCATGGTCAGAGAAGATGCATGGTATGGTTTCAAGTTTTGTTTTTTTATTTTTTATTTTATGAAACTTGCTTTATGGCCTAGAATTTGGTTTATTCTATAGAAAGTTCCATGCACTGGTGAGAAGAATGTGTATTCTGCAAGTATTGGATGAAAAGTTCTGTAGATATCCATTATGTCCATTTGGTCTGTGGTATTGATTAACTTTGTCATTTCTTTGCTGGTTTTCTGTTGGTTGATCTGTCTGCTGCTGAAAGTGTGTTATTGAAGCTTACCATGGCTACTGTATTAGAGTCTATTTCTCCCTTTAGATCCATTAACATTTCTTTTATATAGCCAGGTATCCTGTAATTAGATGTATATACATTTATTATAGGCACATCTTCCTGTTGAGCTGATCCCTTAATCATTACATAATGCCCTTCTTTGTCTCTTTTAAGAGGTTTTATGTTAAAGACTATTTTGTCTAATATTAGGATGGCAAAACAGCTCTTTTTTTGGTTTGTTAGCATGGAATGTCTTTTTCCTTCCTTTCACTTTCAGTCTGTGTGCATTTTTGTTGGTAAAATGTGTTTCTTATATGAAGCAAGTAGATGGGCATTGCTTTTTAATGCATTCAGCAAGTCTTTATATTTTAACTGGAGAGTTGAGGACATTTACATTCAAGTTGATTATTGATAAGTAATGACTTCGCCCTGCCATTTCTCCATAAATATTCCTATTGTTTACTTTGAATTTCCTTTGCCCTTTTACCAGGAGACTTTCTGCATTCACTCTCTTTCATATTGAGGGCCATGTTTCTGTTTTTCTATGTGTAGTACTTCCTAAAGCATCTTTTGTAAGGCTGGATGATTGGTGGCAAATTATTTAATTATTTAAATTTCTGTTGTTATGGAAGGTCTTTATTTCACTTTAACTCATAAATGAGAGCTTTGCAGGGTACAGTATTCTGTGTTGACAATTTTTTTTTTCTCTTAAGAGGAAGCTTTTAATCTATTTAAGTGTTTTAGGAAATGAAAAAATGGCTATGGGTTTGATTCCATCTTCTAAATGTTCCAAGTTCCTTTACATAAGGCTAAGCCTAGATATTATCGAGGCAAGCAGAATTGTGCTTTATGTTGCAAGACTTTATGGTCTCTCTTTACAGAAAATTTGAGAAGCATCTTCTTGCCCTCTTGGGAACATTCCTCAGTTCAACTGAAAAGGTTGGTGTCATCCCATCCTGCATATGGATGGGAAAACTCTGACATTTCTTTGGACAAATCTTGTCCAAACAGATGAGGCTGTCTTGTAATCCTGGTGACAACACAGTGCAAGTTAACTGGGTGAACAGAGTAGAAGTATCTTGAAAACAAATATTGGTTGTTGTGGAATAATAGTATAAAAAAGGTATCTTTTGAGTCTAAAACTGTAAACCATTTAATGCCTTTTGAAATTTGGGACAATAAAGTATAAGGGTTAGGGACCACTGGGTGAATGTGGATCATCACCTCACTAATGTGTTAGGGCTCCTGTACTAGCCTCATTTCTCCATTTGGTTTGAGGACTCCTAGGATTAGAATGTTATAGGGACTGTTGCATGGTTCCAAATGTCCCTGTGATTTAAGATGTCTATGATGACTTCTAGCCCTTTTAGTTGGAGCCAGGAGGACACTGGTTTTTGTTCAGGCTAAGAGATCTCTCCCTAGAAGGGGTATTGGTATCTCTTGTATGATAAGAAAGGCATTTGTGAAAAATAAGCTAGTCCAGTTACATCTTAGGGGCTGGGTGAAATAAATAAGGGCTTCTGGAGATGCTTCTGATGGTCACACTAAGAAAAGAGGGGAGTCCATGATTTGAGAGAAGGACAGAAAAGGCAGCTCCAGTATCTTGGAGGAATTCGATTCCTTCCATTTCATGGGGATGGGAAGGAATTGAAACCAGGGATCTGGGTGTTAGAAGCCTGTAAGTGAAACTCTAGGCCCCTTAAGTCCTGTTGGGTCATTCAAGAAAGGGGGCCAGACTCCAGAAGCCTTGATCTCTGGGCTCATTCAACCATATTCAAGTAGGAAAGGGCCATGAAAGCTTTGTCTGACATCAGGAATGTGCACATTCCTTCTTGAAATCTCTTGCCTGACATCAGCCATAGCTCTTCAGAGGCCTACAGGTAACCTCATGTTTAAGTGGCCATAAAGGTACTACCACCCCTCTGACGTGTTTTTATCCATTCTCTCCCATTGTTGGGTCTCCTTCTGAGCCCAATTGTAAAAGACCAAAGTGATAACCTTCAGATTTCTAATGTACTCTCAGTCCCAGTACCCTGGGTTTAAAGCATTTTTCTAATATCTGGGGCTGACTGAGTAAGGTACCTATCCTTCAAGATTTCCTGTTATTCTATTGAATTGGGGAATAGTAAAATAATATCTCCCTCAACCTCTCTATAATGGCAGAGGTTGTCTTCACAACGTTGGTCTATCATGGATAGTTTGGAGTAGCTGAAGTGCTTAGTCCTGGTCCTCCTAATTCCCTCCAGGATATAAACAATGAAATATGTTCTTTTCTGTTCATCTACAGGGCCATCCGGTACCCATTTATGGTTAATTTCTTCTTGAGAAACAGCCTGCTTTACTGTAGGATATATGTGTACCTGGCCTCCATGATCAGGAGAGGATAAAAATGTCATATGAAATCCATCCATGAATGTTTCTACAACTTGTTGAGCAGCTTGTTTTTCATTCCCTGTTAGGGTCGTATTTAGCAGCAACACTATGTTTTTCTAGGTCAGAACATAAGACTGGGACACTCAAATGCCTCAATATATCTGAGTCATCTGAAAATGTTTCCAAAACTCGCTTTATCTGTCTAAGACCCAGCAGGAAAGGGAAAACTGGACATGAGTAATGCCACCGAACCTTTCAGGAACCTCCTGGAGAGATAAAGCAGAAGTTAACATTCAGGTTTTCTGCTTATTAACAGGTAGTACTGAATTGCGGGGGCAGTGGGGGTGGCAAGAGTTGTAGCTGGTGTGATCTGTGTGGACTATGTGGCAGGCTCCTCAGCAGGCAGAGGGAGACGGCAGCTGTATTCTTGAAGGTAACTGCTGTTAAAGCCACCAGGTCTACCTCAGAGTTGACAATTTCTGGCTTGTATTACATGGTGCAAAATGCTTAGACATAAAGCGTCTCAGGACATTGCTCTGCTCTGCAAAAGAAGAGGTCTGGTTAGAGGACAGTGTTCTAGTTAATAGTTCTCTCTGGGGACCAAGTCTTTCCATTCTCTAACTTGTATCACAGCCATGCCATGGTGTAGGAAAAGAACTGGCATTCTTCAAGTTTCGGGAGTCAAAGGAATCCCAATGCTCAATGATACAGTCCAAATACGTGGAGACGGCTTAATCCCCATCTAAAATAATAGAACAAGCAACAAAGGCATTCTTAAATTCTGCCTGTCCACTTGAGTATACCTGAAGTTCCTGGGCATGGGAGCATGCGGTCCTGAAGTGCACAGCAGAGTGGGTCAAGGACAGGAGGAGATGCTCTTATCTGTGCCTCAAACCTTCCCATGTGTTCCTACGACATTTGATTCTGTGGATCATAGGTGAATGTGAAACCTGGCTCTCGATCAAGAATGGGGCCGGCGCTGTGGTCTAGGGGGTAAAGCCACCACTGCAGTGCCAGCATCCTATGTGGGTGCCGGTTTGAGACCCAGCTGCTCCACTTCCAATCCAGCTCTCTGCTATGGCCTGGAAAAGCAGTAGAAGATGGCCCAAGTCCTTGGGCCCCTGCACCCACATGGGAGACAAAGAAGTTCCTGGCTCCTGGCTTTGGATCGGCACAGCTCCGGCCAATTGGGGAGTGAACCAGCTGATGGAAGACTCTCTCTCTCTCTCTCTCTCTCTCTCTCTCTCTCTTTCTCTGTCTCTCCTTCTCTCTGTATAAATAAATAAATCTTTAAAAAAAAAAAAAAGAATGGTTAAGCCAATAGAAGTAGTTGC